ATCGAAAAATAATTTTTATAAATAAAATTTATAAAAAATTTTCTTGTAAATTTTTTCCTATAAAATTGTTGAATAGAATCATTATCATTATTCATCTGGCTAGAATATATTATCGATATTAATGGAATATGTTCACATGTTAGATTCTGTTGGATTTTATCGTTGATTATAAATTTATTCGATTCAATTTGAACATTTTCACTTGCACACAAAGATTGAATGATTGTGGAAAGATTCAATTCACTATTTATATTGAATAAAATTTCAACAAATAAATCAGTATATTTATGACCATTACGAATGAAATGATTGAAAAATATTTCATATGGATCATTGTTGGAATATTGATCATCTGAATTGATGGATTCATTATTGTTCATATAAAAATCCAGATAACGTTGTGATGAAAATAACTTCGCTAATGTTAAACATTGTTTATTTACCAATGTTGCTGCTTTATTTGATTCATGGTTCATGTCATTCGTTTGCTGTATCGATAATTTCTCACTGAAACTTTCATATGAAATTTTTTCATTAAAATACTCATCCAACAGTGCGACAGAATCGGTAACTTTTTCAGGAATCTGCTGTTGTTGTGGATTATGTTGTAAGATTTTTAAATATTTTTGAAATTCTCGATATGCTTGTAAATCTTCCAAAGATTTAAAACAAAAACAATTATTACACATTTTGCTAACAAATTTGAATTTTTCTTCATTAAATAATGAAATATTGAAATATTGATTGATTTCATTGACAGTAGAATCATTACAAAGATCGATAAAATTATTGAAAATTATTTGTTTTTCATTCAATAGAAACCAGATTGGAAAAAATTTTTCATAAATAAATTTTTCTCGTTGTTGATTTTGTATGAAAATTTGATAAAAAATAATCAATGTTTCACGAAGTGTTAAAATTTCATCATCAGTTGGTCGACATTTGTTGATCAAATGATTTAATCGCTCAAAAATTGTAGTCAGGAATTTTTTTATCAAAATCAAAATCTTTGTCTGATCAATTTGATCTTCATTGGTCATCATCAACTGAAATGAATGGGATTGAAAACGTTGTTGAATATCTAACCAGAATAAATTTATATGAAAGTTATTCAGATATTCATTCCATTTTGAAAATTTTTCTCCATTATCATTTTCAAATATTTTCGAAACAAATGCCAACATTGTATTGTTTTCACGAAAATCAATGGGCAGTTTTTTTACCAGTTCAAATCGATCATCATGATTGAAAAATATTTTTGAATCATCAGATATTTGAACAAGTTTTTCGCTAATCATTTTAACATAATCATCATCATTTGATTTGGAAAATATACGAAAACGAATATTGAAATCAGCTAAAGTGGAATTTTCAAAAAATAATCTCACTTTTAATGAATCTGAATAATCAGCTGTTGAATCATCATTGAATAATAATCGATAATTTTCAATTGCATAATAAAGATTTGAATCATTTGATAGATGATTGAGTTTTGGTAGTAAAGAAACTTGATTGATTGAAGAAGCGATCGATTCCGAATTCACATTGTTCGGTTGATTTGTTGTTGAACCAATTTGTTGATTTTTTAAAATTTTCTGTTCAATTGATTGAAAAAA